ACAATTGGTCAACACTTTAATATAATCCTGTGCAATTGTGCAATTAAAATAATAGCTATATAGCATACATATTCAAAAAATCAAACATCTGTTTAGTAATAAATTAACTAAAACGATTACTAAGTGTCTCAATAAATTTTAACACTGTGTAGTTTGCCATTTTGACCCATATTTGCCATTTTGATTTCTTACAGTGCAATTGAAATAATAGCGATATAGCATTCATATTTAAAAAATCAAACATCCATATAGTAATAAATTAGAGGCGCTAAATCACTTTTCTTTGACACCTAGAGATGGACACAGCAACGTATATAATAACGAAATATGAGTGTATATAAACTGATTTACATTCAATTGTTCTGTTTTTGCTGTAATTTCTAATCAGTTGTTCGGCAAAATACATGAAGAGTACAAATTCAATGACAGTCTTCGTTTATGGTTATTCCAGTCTACACCGGTAGTATTCTCCTGTATTTTTAGCCTCGTTCATCGAATCGCTTCATTACAAATGGCGCAATATAACAACATCAGTGTTGATTTAAATAAGTTGTGTTTGCAATCGGGCCCGTATCTACAGGGGGGCGCGGGGGGCATGCCTTATATTAACCTAAAAAAAAACTACGCTTCCCTAAGCAGGAAGAGGTAGCCTATAATTCAGGCGACAAATGAATTGCGAGCTAAACTACAAACGAAAGACTAGGTAGCTAATAACACAATCAAGGGAGATAACTCTGTCGATACCGTTTTAGGCCACGTTGTCACAAACACCACATACGTTATTATTGACACTAAAAAAAACAGGTAAAAAAATTGTTTTGTCCAAGGAGTTTGGAAATATAGATTGGTCCGAACTGATGGATAAATATATTACGTCAAAGTCGCCAAGGGTAAGGTCTGAAACGGCATCTACATCTATGGACAGAAGTAACAAGGTCAGCAAATGCCCAAATGATCTTGGAATGTTGACCACTTGTCCGGCACAACCGCAGACAGGTATACAATTCCCGAAAAATTCTTCTGGCCGGAAATTTTCAACCATGTGGTATGCACGTTTTCCATGGCTTGAGTATTCTGTAGAACGTGATGCTGCCTTCTGCTACGCGTGTCGACATTTTGCCCCTGACGTACATGCGCCATCGTAACTTGGTTCTGTTGGCATTTGAACGAAGACGAACTAAAATGATTGACATGGACCAATTTATTACCAAATTTCAACCAAAACACACGCGACTGCAACTATCATAAACTAACTGTTTGAAGCCATATGCCAGGAGCAAAAAAATTATTAACATTTACCAGTACTGAGTACTGACAAAGTAAAGTGCGACTCAAAACAAAAATTTAGCGGTATTTATTTAAAACGCTATGCTATCAGTATGCGCATATTAATCCCACGGTATCTCATTACTTTATAAACCATTTTTTTGTACTAATCTAAAATAGTTTTAATTAAATTTTAAAAATCACGATTTTTTTTTGTTTGAATACTTATTTTAAAATGCTTATTAGACGCCTAGGTAACTACATAGCATGATGATTACAACAGTCTGTTAGAATGACCTTTCCGAAAATTTCCTCAAAATGTTCGCCCCCCTACCGAAAGGTAATGCCCCCCCGCTTAATGGTGTCTTTTTTGAAGAGTTCTATGAATATTACATTTGAACGGGGGGACAAATCCTGCCTGCAAAATTATATGCCAACATAATACTGAATGTAGCTACATTATTATTTTGCATGAATAGATGTTTTATAAGAATAGAATTAAGACTATATAGAGAGGTGCGTATTAACATAAGAATAGAATATAGAATATGGCCAGTGATAAGCGAATAACAGGTGGATCATGGTTGAAATTTGTTGACATAATGGGAGGCCAGGATAAGGCAATCTTGTCTTTGTGTCAATCTTTCATAACAATGATAACTGTTAGTGTGCAAATATAACTATTGTACCATTGTCCCTTTTAATGGACCATAGTGATTTCGTTTAGCCCAGTTTCCAAATAATGTAGGGTGAAAAGTAGATATACTTTAACTGTTGATTCAACAGATTTGATTTCAGATCTAACATACTAACTTTTTAACTTCTCTCTATCAAGTAGCAATCTTGTTTCTGAATTTAAAATGGATTATTTTAATCTTGCTTATTAGGATATCATTTCCCAAGGAGTAGAACATCTTTTAAAATGTCAGATATCAATGCCACAATTTCTAGGTATTCTAATGCTGCTTATTAGTAGATTAAAATTTAAGCATACAATTTAGCCCAGCCCAACAGGACTGTGTTAAGTGTGATCCCCCTATATGAAGGTGTTAGTTTGTTGCAGAGGCAGATCAAGTTCGCCGAATAGTTCGTATCACTGTAATAATCACTGTACCACCGATGTGTACCATGAGAACTGTTTGTGACCATTTTGACAATTGGTCAACACTTTAATATAATCCTGTGCAATTGTGCAATTAAAATAATAGCTATATAGCATACATATTCAAAAAATCAAACATCTGTTTAGTAATAAATTAACTAAAACGATTACTAAGTGTCTCAATAAATTTTAACACTGTGTAGTTTGCCATTTTGACCCATATTTGCCATTTTGATTTCTTACAGTGCAATTGAAATAATAGCGATATAGCATTCATATTTAAAAAATCAAACATCCATATAGTAATAAATTAGAGGCGCTAAATCACTTTTCTTTGACACCTAGAGATGGACACAGCAACGTATATAATAACGAAATATGAGTGTATATAAACTGATTTACATTCAATTGTTCTGTTTTTGCTGTAATTTCTAATCAGTTGTTCGGCAAAATACATGAAGAGTACAAATTCAATGACAGTCTTCGTTTATGGTTATTCCAGTCTACACCGGTAGTATTCTCCTGTATTTTTAGCCTCGTTCATCGAATCGCTTCATTACAAATGGCGCAATATAACAACATCAGTGTTGATTTAAATAAGTTGTGTTTGCAATCGGGCCCGTATCTACAGGGGGGCGCGGGGGGCATGCCTTATATTAACCTAAAAAAAAACTACGCTTCCCTAAGCAGGAAGAGGTAGCCTATAATTCAGGCGACAAATGAATTGCGAGCTAAACTACAAACGAAAGACTAGGTAGCTAATAACACAATCAAGGGAGATAACTCTGTCGATACCGTTTTAGGCCACGTTGTCACAAACACCACATACGTTATAATTGACACTAAAAAAAACAGGTAAAAAAATTGTTTTGTCCAAGGAGTTTGGAAATATAGATTGGTCCGAACTGATGGATAAATATATTACGTCAAAGTCGCCAAGGGTAAGGTCTGAAACGGCATCTACATCTATGGACAGAAGTAACAAGGTCAGCAAATGCCCAAATGATCTTGGAATGTTGACCACTTGTCCGGCACAACCGCAGACAGGTATACAATTCCCGAAAAATTCTTCTGGCCGGAAATTTTCAACCATGTGGTATGCACGTTTTCCATGGCTTGAGTATTCTGTAGAACGTGATGCTGCCTTCTGCTACGCGTGTCGACATTTTGCCCCTGACGTACATGCGCCATCGTAACTTGGTTCTGTTGGCATTTGAACGAAGACGAACTAAAATGATTGACATGGACCAATTTATTACCAAATTTCAACCAAAACACACGCGACTGCAACTATCATAAACTAACTGTTTGAAGCCATATGCCAGGAGCAAAAAAATTATTAACATTTACCAGTACTGAGTACTGACAAAGTAAAGTGCGACTCAAAACAAAAATTTAGCGGTATTTATTTAAAACGCTATGCTATCAGTATGCGCATATTAATCCCACGGTATCTCATTACTTTATAAACCATTTTTTTGTACTAATCTAAAATAGTTTTAATTAAATTTTAAAAATCACGATTTTTTTTTGTTTGAATACTTATTTTAAAATGCTTATTAGACGCCTAGGTAACTACATAGCATGATGATTACAACAGTCTGTTAGAATGACCTTTCCGAAAATTTCCTCAAAATGTTCGCCCCCCTACCGAAAGGTAATGCCCCCCCGCTTAATGGTGTCTAGATACGGGCCCGTTTGCAATGTCAAAGAATGTGGATGATATTGAGTTAGCGACTTGCCCCCTTTAACTTTAACAAAATTACTAATGTAACTTAAACAATTACTAAAGTGTGTCAATAAATTTAATGCTGTGTAGGTCACCATTTTGACCCTTACAGTTCACCAAACATATGGATGTAAAAAAGGTGACAACTTGATTAGAGAATATCTCATACCACTTCATTTTCTTATAACAAGAAATATTTACAGTTAACTCTATCCAATCCAACCTGGTGTGGTTGAATCAAGTTACAATCTAAATTGATACCCATAAGGAAAAAATGCTTAACCCTTGCCTCACAAGCCTTTATTCGAATTCTTTTTCTTTTTTTACAAGAGAAGATATCCTTTTTTTTTCTCAGAAAATTTATTTGTATTTGTGCATGCTTTGATTAGTTTACGGTTTAGTTGCTAAATGACAGTTAACAATAGGGAGGTAGATAATTATTTTTCTTTCTCACTCTATTCATATTCTTTTTTTTACTTCTACACAATATGATAACTTCACGCATGGCTTCTAAAGATATTCCATACACAAGTACTGAAAAATAAAATAGAAAATAAAGAAGAAATGCTGTAGTCATCGTTGTTTGTGTTTCATTATCTAGGGTCGGTATTGAAGCCTCTTACTCATACAATTATACCCAGAAATATTGAACAATGAAGACAACAATCATAAAATAAGAAAAAGGAAAAGCCTCTCAAAACTCTTATCATATTCAAACTTAGATAGAGGCAAGCAGAGCTGATTCATGTGTGTCACGATAAAGGGTTTTTTAGGCACACCCTTTTTTGAAATACCACTTTATAACCTTTATTAAAGGACAACATATTAAATACAATAGATAGATGTTGAATACATGTAGTTACATATGAATTACTGAAAAGATATCATGTGATTTTTCTTTAGGAATATATCGAAGCTCACCAGATACGCTTTGTTAGTGGATAGAATCTAGAATTCGAGGAGGGAATAATCATCATTGGTTTAAATAACTTTTTATCAGGTATATGTAAATTCAGATATATTATTTTGATATTATTTGTTCAAAATTAGTTGCACTTGCCCCATTAAAAACATTTAGGTATATATTAATACAATGTGGTTTAAAGTCCAGTATATTTTCAATATTGCACATGTTGCACAAAACTAGAGTTGCTTCCCTTAAGACACTTAAAGCTACAGTAGTACAAAAGTCAAACTCTTCTTAGAAATAAATTTAGTGGGATTTAATTCAGAATTATATCAACTTTGATATCATTTCTAAATGAATTTTTGAAAATTGTAAGGTAAAACGTGAAAACTGTAGAGAAAATTTTCTAATAGTGTTTTTTAACCTTCATATAGATGGATGGTGATTGAATCCTGACTAGTTTCTGTGATATTTTATTAAAGTATTGATATGACAATCACATCTCTATAATCTATTGTCAGTCTTGCGTTCCAAGTATTGGTATTATTAAAAGGAGGCGAGCATTTAGGAGAGAAAGTAATTAAACTTGATCAGCCATTTTGAGATAATGTCATCAAAGAGGCAGTGAATCAATAACTGTCACTAATCACAGCAGAAAAAGGTCTCCTTCTTGATGTTTTGTGTTATTTTCTTATCTCCGCTAAATTTCGCACCCATCTCTGATGGCAGCCAGCTGTTTGCGGGTCACTAGATTGTTTCTTAGGATCAATATTAGACAATGGACGATAATTGGTTGCCCTAGGGTGTTCCACTGTTGAAACACATTCCTTTAGTGAATCATGCAGTTTGAGAGATTCCTCACCATTTGAAACTAACCAGAATGAATATTAAAAGAAAGAAATGGAGAAATTAATGATGTAGAAGAATAGGTTGTGTGAAGTGAAATATAAATGAAAGAAATGAAGAAAAAAAACAAGACCTTCTTCAAATGAAGGTATCATTTTGTTGCAGATTTTAAGATAGTGTTAGTATTGGAATTAAAATTTTATAGACAAATATTAGTTCATAAATTTTTTACATATCATGGCACTGAAAATATATACTTTTGTTTTTAAAAGAATAAGAGATTTATACAAAAGTACATTAAAATGGTTGTAATTATTTGATTTAGAAGAATGCCTAGTGTACTACATGGTACTATACAAAACTAAAGAAAAAGTAAGAGTTGTGAAAAGTCAACAAACAAACATAGTGGTAATTGCCATTATCCGTCAATTAACACAAGTATTTTTCGGCCTTTGTCATTGCTTTCCCTTTTGTTACCAATTGTTGACACGGGGATGTGAAGCAATCACCACAAACCACTTTCTTCCTCGTTTGTCAATTACCCTCTAATTCTTAACTCTCAAGACAAAATGGAAAGATTTAAAACAAGTCAAAGTCGGAAAGCCTCCGACTAATACAATACGACTTGAGTGCTTGTTCCCTGTTTGTCAGTATATGCACCTACACTCATCTGTCCTCACTTTTGTCACTGGTTTCTTCTTCCCGACTTAAAAGGAATTACGGAACAGCATTCCTCTGATACCACTACTAGTTTTCACTTTGAAGAATAGCGCTCTCATTTTAAGATGCTGTCGGACACAATCCCTCACATACGGCCAGAAAAAGGTATTGTAATCATGGGTATTCCCACCAATTGGGTCGTCTGTTTGTTTTCTAATAGCTTCGTTGTTTAAGGCTCACTCAATGTTATCCCACTGATTAACTTAGATGAAAGAACTCATGTCAAATTTGAAGTTAACTGCTAAAATGACAGAATGAAAAATGAAAAAAACACACTAAATTTTCTCTATTGACTAGGAGGTTTGTCTCTTCATCAAGAAAAGAGTAAATATTTTGGTGAAAGCTACAGGTCAAAATCTTATGTCAATTGAAATACTCTAATGAAAATACAATCCACTACAAAACTAAATGATGCAATTTAGGAGAAATATTGAGAACTATTTTAGAAAGAAAAAGGCATGTCAACACTGCTAAGATGTGAATCTTTATTTTAGATTTTTTTGGCTCTTCATCAAAGTGTTACATTTTATAAGACCATTAATTGAACAAAATCCACAACTGAGTAAAAAACATGCATAAATACAGAACAAACAATACCAAGTGCGAACAACAGATGTCAAAAATGAATAAAGCTGTTAGCTTACCAAAAATTACAAGAGATTGGTCCTCTTACAGATAAACTAATTTGCTCAACAACGAGTAAGCATGCCCAGTCTTGTGGACAACACCTATCAAAACTTGTAGCTATGAGACCAACACTGGCCAGATTTTATGGTATGCTGCCATTCTTTATTGTTTGTAGACTGAATGGTAAATTGCTTTCTACTACCTTCCAGACTGTGGACCAATGATGTTCCAGAGTTAGGGCTTTGGATTCAATCATCCAGTATCTAACTGTGTGTATGCATATGTCAAGTGGATTAAATCAGATTTAAAGGAGCTAAATCGCTAATATTTGGGACCTAGAAATTGACACAAATGGGTCGGAACGCATATAATAATGTAATGTGAATGTATTTAAACTGATTTACATTCAACCGATTCTGTTTTTACTGTAATTTCTAATCAGTTATGTTCGGCAAAATATGCCAGAAGTCTCAATTGAATGGCAATATTTAGCGTCTGGTTATTCCAGTCTACACCGATGATATGTATTGTGCATGCTCTCCAGATAAGAATATAGCGTCACCATTTGACATGACTTGTGGAATATGTCTAGCCGCTTTCTTTGAGTCCCTTGTTCCAAATGGCGCTGAAACGCATTATGGTACACAATTCGTGTACCAATGGTAAAATGTTTATTTTGTCTTGAATATTCGATATCAGAAGCCGATCTTTTCCCTGTAAGATCACAAGACCAATGTTGATTTGAATTGACATATAATTCGTGTTTTCAATGTCGAAAATTTTTGATGATATTGAGTTAGAGACTTAGCTACTTTAATTGTGATGGCATTTATTTATTTTTTTAAATTATTTCATATTTTCTCTCATTCTTAGTGCTTTGTTTCAGAATGTGTATTACCAATGATTAAATGAAATGAAATGGGGTTTAACATCCTTAACATGCCTCTTGACTAGTTGGATAAAATATTTTTGACTTGTTCATTGACTAGAAACATGGGGCATGGACTTTATAATTGTGTATTATAGTGTCCATGCTGAACTGACTTTGCTTAAATGTCCTGAAGGCAGCAGGTTAGAAATAATGTTCTATCTCTGATCTGATATGCAGTTCTCCTTCCTACATTGTTTATAAGTTCTTATAGAATGGTCAACATTCTAACCATGAAGTGATATTGTTTTTATTTATTAAAAAAAACCTACTACATTGCAATCTTTTCTTTCCACTGAAATTAATATGCAATTTTGTTTAAGGTGTTTGAAATGATGTTTAATTTGAAACACATTAATATATTTTCTTCTGCAACAAAGCATCTAAGATTAATGATTTCTGATTTAAGATTAATGTGGGATGACCCTCCACTCCTGACAAACTGTCTAACCATTGGTCTTATTGTCTCTTACATCTTAAATATTTTATATTTTGGAAGTAATACAAATTGATTTGAAAATGACAAACAGGCCATTGCCCATTGGTTCAGCCAGCACATCATTTACTTTTATATTCAACATCATTCCAGCGTTTTATGTTCTTTCAGTTTTATTACAACTTTACAAAAAATTTCTGTTCATCTTAACTCTCTAATGTGTTTCCAATTCCACAAATGTTGGCAACAATGTAATTTATTTTCTTTTTTGCTCACATTTTATTGAACATTGTTAGAAATGTTATCAGTGCTTTTTGGCTGACTGGATAATGGGTAAATGAAGGAAACGGAGTATGACAACCATTTCAATTCTTGTTATGACCCAAAATATTTTTCATTGATGACCAGTAGAAAATCTATAAAAAACAAATAAGTTGCAAGCAGTGGTGTTTAGATTGATACATGTTGTAAGATGACATGATTTCTATAAATCTTTTATTAAAGTTACATAACTAACTTCCCATGGCCTGTTTCTACTCTCGCTGAATAAATTGAACAAAAAAGAGAGAAATCACCATTCGATGGCGGCTATTATGTGTAATAATTTGGAATTTGGGAAATTTAGGCCAGAATTGATCAGAAGTTGATGAAGGCTATGACAAGGGATGCATTTAGTCTGAATTTAGCATTGTGTGTGATTGATTTTCACACTAATAATGCACATTTGCATCAGAGCTTTTCAAGGAAAACATAAATCAATAGAGGCTTTTCTTTCTTTGTTGGAATGCATTTCACCTCACATAACCCGGAGGGCCAATATAGATTCCAACACACTCCCTGCTAGACGGCACCAATACTTGTTCCCCACTAGACAAAAGGTTTCTAATCCTGTATTATTCCAACTGGATTAGAACTTTGCGGCGTGTGACTATGGTTGCCACAGATTTGTCTATTATAGTCTTGGTGAAAATCAATTCTGCTCTTTGCTCAGTCAAGCGTCAATTCTTTCACTGGCCAATATTTCTATATTCAGCTAATTGTCAATGTCAAATAACAAAAAGCTCTTATTATTTTCAAGTGTTCTCACCAGTTTTAATTAACTATTCTCCTCCAAAAGCAGGCTGAGTATGATAAATAACCGCATTCCTTTAGGCTTTTTTCACTCTCTTTCTCTTCTGTAGAACAGAACAACTTGAAACAAATTGTGTTCTATCCTAGAAGGACTGCAATATTTAAACATAATGTTATTTTTAACAATATTTGCACAGAGCAATCATTTTCTAAAGATTCTAAAGTATTAAGACAGATTCTTCAACTGGATACAAGTGTCAATAGAATGTTTTATTCTATAAAGACAATTTGCAATGTCTTAACCAGGTCTCTTTGCTTTTAAATTTATTTCTATTTCTTGTGATTGCTAAATGTTGTCTATTTCTGTTTTTTGTGAAGTTGCTATAAATGGAAAATCATGTGTGGGAAAGATCAATTTAAATGTGTTGAAATTAAGACCTTGAGCCCCATCATGCCACAACTTTTAGATATTGTTGTCAAACTTTCTTGTATCCAGTCAACAAACCAATGTTTTGAGAGGCACAGATGTGACAAAGCTGCATTATGGGCTTATTTTTTGTTGCCTGGCAAGCTATGATTTAGTCATTTTTTGAATAAACACTAATATTCTGTAATTTTTATATTGTTTCAATAATTCCTTTGCCAAATTCCAAGTTCAAAACTATCACATTTAAATGTATCTTGAAACTGCACTAGTCCAGACTAAAAGGCAAATACAGACTTCTAAGCCATACACAATTGAAAGTAGTCTTATCAAAAATGAAATTCAATCAATCATAATATAAATTATTGCCATCCACAGGTCACATTACTTTCTATTGATTTCACATAATTGTCTCAGAACCTTCAGTTCACAACTGAAGCACATTACATTTCTATCTATGAATATCAAGTACAAGATGGTATCCAACCTAGGATTTTTTATTTAATTGACTGAATTATTGTCTAAATAACACTTTGTATGTCTGATTTTGGTTAAATTTAAATACAGAAATATGTTAATTTAGATTTTTGTGCATTGCGACTTTAAGCGAAGCACTGTATGCTTTCTGTTGTAGAACATCTGATACTGCTACTCCATTATTTTAGAAGCGAACGTTAATTTTAATTTTAATGTTAATTTAGATTTTTGTGCATTGCGACTTTAAGCGAAGCACTGTATGCTTTCTATTGTAGAACATCTGATACTGCTACTCCAATGAATTAATGTAGGAACTAATCTAATGATACTAACAAATTAATATAGGAACTAATCTAATGATATTAATATGATATATGAACTACTTTTCAAACAAATGCAATGATATAAAAATTGCTTCTTTTCTCTTTAAGATGGGTCTGTCTTGAAACCCAACTGAATCATTGAGTTTTGAAGAGTGAAATAAGACTTCATGATGCAAAGAGCTTGCTATTCTTTCATTAGTGCTTCAATTCTATTTTAGACAGAGTACAATTGAAAGGAAACAAAAAGAGAGGTATCCAATGAATATTGCCATAGTGGAATTGGACTGTTCCAAGAAAATCTCATCGGTGAGTAGTCCTTTTATTGTGAGCTTCATTTCCTCTTCATTGCAATCAATGGATGTCAAAACTTCACATGTCCCTACATTTAACAGACCTTTGTCATTCTTGTGCCGTTACTGTGGCAACCTGTCAAATTTGGGTGCCATGTAATAGCAACAAGAGAAGGAAAGCTTTTTGTGTTTTTATCATCCAATGAAGGAAGATGCAGTCGTGCAGAAAAAAAGAATTTAATCTTCCACATAGGCTCTGTTCACTAACAAAATTTCAACAAGCCTCATTGGTTTAATTCTAATTTAGTCTTACATGAAAATTCACTTTTTCTGTTTGTGGCTTTTTATGCAGGCTATGGCCAAGACCTAAGGGTGTTTTATTGATAGCAAGTTTGTTAGTATTTTATTGCCTAATTTACCATTCTTCTACAAAAGTATTTTTCTTCCATGTTCCAATTTGAAAACTCATTTGGGATTGGTCTTTGAAGTGGCTGTCTGGAAAAACAATAGAGCCTTCTTCACAGATGGGAACAAGTCCAGGGGAAGAAAGGAATAGAAATTAGATATTATGAAAATCTTGAAAATCAATTATGAATTCTATGATTTTTGATCGTTCTCACGAATATAGTAAATATAACATTCCTTTGAACAGTGGTTTTGGGTGAGAATTGCACACGCTGAGTGGAAAACAAGGCTATAGAGTGCTGGTATAACTGTTATTTTAAACAGGCGCTCATTAATATGATTTGATTTACCCCTCAATTACTATCGTAAACTATCAATAGCATGAGAATTTGATTATCGAACTTGAGTTGAATTGTTGTTATTGTAATTAGAAAAATTAGATTTTTGTCTATTACATCAGGCAATTTCTCAGACAATAGTGTTACCTAACAACAGAAGTTATTGATGCTGCTTGGAAATATGATCAATGGTTTCTTTGATGAATTGTTGACTCAAAGTTATTTAAATGGTCGAACATTGATTAAGAGAAATACACTAATTTATTGGGAGACAAGAGAGATAGATTACTATTGTACTTAGTAAAGAATTGTTTGATTGAATCATGCTTTATTGCCTTGCACCTAAAACACTTGGGTCTTTGCAAAATTTCAAAAATAGTGCATTGAAATGGGAGCATTAGCTGATTCTGTGCGAACTGAATAAATTTCTGCATTGTCTTGGTTTTTATTAGTCTCTATATTAGATTGATTGAAGAAAGTCAATGGTTGTGGCATTCTTTTAAGTTCTGAGATTTGTATTATGTATCTACCAGCATGTGAAAAATATGATGCGATGTCCACCATGGAGGTGATCGAAGGAGGCATTTACGGTAACTCTTTCTGAAATTGTTTGTGTATTGGACAGCAATATAATACAGAATTTGATTTGTAGACTTTAAAAGACAACAGCAGTAGGTCTGCTGGTGCAGAAAAGTAGGGGGTTGGGCATGGGTGGTCTAGTGGTTTAACACGTGAAATCAGAATGTCTGTCATTGAGGCTAATGGCATGGTTTCAATTCCTCGCTTGTATGTGACAAGAAGTAGGGTCGCCTGTCCAACCTTGTGTGTTTTCACCGGATCGCCCAGTTTCCTCCCACAGCTAAAGACCCATACTTGCAAGCAAATTATTGAAATAAAATTGAACCATATGTTAGTCCTGAAATGACAGTATTTGTCAGGGGGTATTCTGGAGTCATTCCTGGCCGTTGTTTTTTTAAAAGATATTTATAGAAGTAAAAGTGTGAACAATTTTGATCAAATTGTAGTTTGATTCAATTTCTTTAGGAAAACAATATCCCATAAATCAAGTAAAAGAAATAAATACTGAATTACATAATATTTGATGACTGTGGAATTGTAAGGAACAAATCCATTATGCATTTTTCAGGAAGATTTCTTGGTGTTTCTATCTGTTTGGGAAGAGTATCTTTTTGAAGGAACAAATTGAACTGAAAAATAATTCATAAACACAACAGCAATTTATATGAATCTTTGCCATTTTTATTTATTCATCATCACTAATTAAAATCTAAACTGTTTGGAATGATAAACATGAAGTATGACAATATTCATAGATTTATGATAGAGAAATGAAGTCAAGACATTTTCAGGATAACAACATATATGCCCTAGTTCATTATTTTCTCATTCTATTTTCACAGGACATGATTTATATGTTTTTAATATTGTAAGGGATACATTAAGTTAACATATCTACAAGTTGTCTGGTAATTTTTATGCCTACTAAGAGTCTGTCTCTCTGAAAGCTCATAAGGAAAGACAGTGATAATGTATGAGAAGAAGCAGAATGTTTGACAAGAAGGACTTTTAGCTATTTCAGTATCATTTAGAGTCTGTTTATATAATAAATGTTGCGAAACAATCAACAATTAAATGGTAGCTTCTTAAATCTGTCTTCAAAATTCCTGAAATTTCTTGATTCTCAGAATTTGATATACAGTTTATTACAAGCTATTACAAGTTAAAAGTAGTTTGATGAAAAGAAAAATTTACAGCCCTGGAAAACCACACCAAAAATCTAAATTTGCAACAAAAATTATAATAGGAGAATATTAGTTTTATTAGAACTTTCTACCATTCATAATTTTATAGAAATGGCATGGAATATTTGACAGTATGCTCTTTGTATATTTTCTGGTAAAAACAAATAACTTTATAATTTACCTCATCATGTAGGATGCGTTGAACAATATTGTTAAAAAAATCATTAATTATTTTTACTGAAGCTTTTTGTGTGCATTTCCGGTTATTTTAAAGTTGAGTACAATTCCATGCCTGTAATCGTTAAAGCAGAAAATAATATATCACGGCACAATTATGAAATGGCTTGTTAAGATTAAATTTAATTATAAAGAAGCTTGTCTAATTGATTTTCAAATCTGGAGAAACAATTACCATGAGCTCTGCTGTTACGACTGTAATCAGTCATTCAAAAACTAAAAATTTGGACATGCTTAGGATAATGAGTTTTGAATATTAAAGGTATAATAGATTATAAATCCCAATTATTTTTTCAAGAAGCAGATATAACTATGGGATAGGAGAGGCTCCAATTATGATAGATTTATTCATGTTTAAAGCATACATGCAGTTCAATAATTTGTTGTATCATCTATTCAATTAAAAGAACTAAACTTCTTTCATTTAGGTCAAGTATTAAAATGTGAAAGGCCAATTTTGTGTTTCAAAATATTAAGCAGAAGTCAGATTGTTTATGAATTTTTGGCTTAAACTTAATTAGATTGACACTGTTATTTTTTATCCATATCAAAGGTGTCCAATCTTAATCTTAAAAGAGTACACATTTCTGCTAACACATAATTTTTTTACAAAATTTATTCTGCAGTGATAAAAGATGCAATAATTGACTGATAATGTGTTAATATTTAAAATCATAACTAATTTTTTAGAAGTTTAGCTACTTAAATATCTCATTGTAAAAGATAAACAGAAATTAAAAATCTCCACATTTATTGGCGGTCAAGTCTGGTGCTATGAAGTAGTGTCAGGAATCATGAAAAGATTTCAAGAGATTATCATTTGAACTATGTAATTAACCCAGTAATAAAAGCTGACTTTGTTTCACCAGGCTTCACAAAGGCACCCCTTAAAGTGGAGTCTTCATGTCTACCATATTAATTGATACATAAGCGTTTCACCTATCCTCCTGTTTTTTATGAAGTACTTAATTGAAGAGATTATTGTCTAGCATTGTCTATAATAGCATGTGTTATTGGTTATGGTAATTATTATAATATATTATGTTCGCTTACAATCATTTCTTTCAGTACTGTACTAAGATGTTCTTCAAAACATGATAAACGCCATGACAGATTTTTTAGGAATAAACTGTCAGTTGTTGTTATAATACCAAAGACAAAATTTTTGAATTATATATAAATGATTTTGAAACATTTCTGTTATTTGTATTTTAACAAATAAACTTTTTTATTTATTTGAGATAGGTTTAAAGTCATGATAGCCAGAAGGCAAATTATGATTTTGCTTATTTAAATTTAACAATATGTAAACTCTTATTTGTCGATTAGATCAAACCAAAACAGGTTAGATGCCATAATGGATAGAACTAGTAGTCCTTCTGTCATTAACTGGCCTAAAAAAAAATGATGGTGAAATTTAATGAATAGAAAATAGAACACTATTGTGAACTTTACATTTAGATTGATCAATTTTGGTAAATTGTGGACCAAGACTATGTTTTATTGTGTATGGGGTTGAACACATTTAGAAAGAAACTTCTTCATAACATTCTTTCATCAGAAGATTTTTCTACATTGTATTTACAACTTTTGGTCTATTGCACTTACAACATATATTTCTTGTCAAAATGCACACAAATCACGTTATTCTCATATCAAACTTTATAAACAGCTATTAAGATAAGTTTTTTATCTGTGGATATAAGCATCACAGTGGCATTGCACGTGTACTGATGAATAAAGTATGCACGTAGACAATATAAAGAAAAACAGTAGTTATTTGTCTGTTTGGGACCAAATGTTATGACCAATCCATTTATGCTGTAAAAATTCCTCCATTAACCTCTGGAAAGCCCCCCTAATATAATTCCAAAAGATGATAATGTGTTAAAGTATTATAAATCATGTACATCCCATCTCTATCACAGATCTTATTATGTGGAATAAATCATCATTTTGTGAAGAGGAAAGAGGAAACTTTAAATTGCAATATGGTAGCAGAAATGTGAAATTGAACTCTTTGAAAAAATACATTTAAGATTGATATAGTCAGACCTGCACAAGTATTTGTTTGTTGGCTTTGTTTATTTTTCCTGTACAGTATGCAGGAGCACAAAAAATGAATTGAACAATTGTGTTCACATGTTTTAGTGACTATTGGTGAGCAAGATAAGAAAAACAAATAAGTATTAATAAAGATTTTTGATGGATTTAGCAGAGATATCTCTTATCTTTTTTTACAAGCCAGAGATCTTTCAAACCCTGATTTATTT